GGGCGGCCTGCCGCAGCAGCAGCCCGGCACCGCCGAGTCCGACGGGGAGGGGCCGCCCCGGGTGGACTTCGTGGACAACACCATAAAAAGCCTCGATGAGAAACTGCGCAATTTGCTTTACCAGGAGTACGTTCCTACTTCCTCTGCCTCGGCGGGGACTCCCGACACCTCTGTCCCACTAGAACAGGGCGACGCTGAATTTAGCTTGCCACCTTTTCCCGAAGACCGGGTTCCCGCATCGGCGTCGGATGTGAGAGAACAGGAGAGAGGCCAGGAGGCGAAAGCTGCTGCCGAGGCCCAGTCGGTGCCGCTCGCCCCACCCGAGGTCTCGCCCTACCCAGCACCGGTTAGTCCAGCGACGGCTCTGCCCTTCATACCCCCAAATCCGGCTGTTAAGCACAGCTCCGAAGCAGAGCTCAGACCCGACGAGCCTGTGGTAGGACACGTATAGATTTCTTGCTTCAATGAACATCGTTATGTTTCTGCTCCTGGGTATATTGCCTTTTGGCTGTTGACTGCTTTCCAGCGAGAAGGTCCTCCTAAAATTTTACTGTCAGATGCGTTCTGACTCCTTTTACGTAAATGCTTGTTAGTGAAAGCCAAACTTTTCCTTCGGGTTTAAAAGTGGTATATCATCTTAATTCATTCTCCTCCTCTTGTGTCCTGTTTCTAAAGCAGGCAGAAACATGATGATTTTTTTGTAGTTTACAAATGTAAAACACAAGGGGTATAGTCATTCAAGTTCTGATGAAGACAGTCATGCTTCAATAGGAAAGTTGTTGGTTTGGTTTTTTTAATATAAATTAATGTCAGTGATTATAATGCCCGCCTTCCAAGTCAGTCTGAATGAAATAAACACTTCAGGAGCCTTTGCTTTGTTCAAGTGCTGCAGCTAAGGGAAGACACTCCATGGGTAGAAGCTTGCTCTGCTTCCAGTAATGATTTCTTTTGTCTTCTCCTGAACTTGGCAGAGCAAGACTTCACTGGGAAGCATCTAAGGAAAGCTGGAGCAGGTGGTCTGGGTCATTATTTACTCGGTGTCTCGACTGTGCACCTGTGTTGCATTCTTTCAGATAAAATCCTGAGTTTATGAAATTCAACAGATTTGCAGCCCTTTCTGCTAGAAGATCAGTGCTACTTGAAAAGTAGCATTTCTGGAGATGATTACATCCCCACTAGCAAAGAGGAGGCTGTTCCGTGTAGTGCCAGCTGGATGAACTGTATCAACTGCTTGAAAGATGCTGTATGTTACAGGAGAGACAGCTGCGCTTGAGTAATGCTTTAAAGCATATTGTTTATAATGATAAATTACTTTCTACAGCAGATAAAATTCTCTCTCTATGAAAGGTGTTAGGTCTCGCCAGTAGTTTGAATTTGTCCTATTAAAATCTGTGCCAATAAGAAAAGAGACACATAGAATTTCTGAAGACAGACATACAGAGGAATAATGTACGGTCTGGCTGGAGAAACAAACCAGAGCAAAACCCAAACTGATATATATAATTCAGTGCCTGTTTTTCAGTAACTTAGGCTGCAGTTTCCTCTGTGACACTGCCACTGTTTTTTCTTCCAAAGGTGAAAAAAAAATGTAGGAGTTGAAGGAAAAGCTAGAAGGCCGCCTCCACAGACACTATAAAATAGTTTAATATTCCACAATAGCGAGAGGGAGAGAGAGGGAAGGAGAACGCATTGCCTTTCTGCTTTGTGCGTGAGACTGAACTTCTTTTTCTTTTTTCTTTTTACCAAAAGTTTGAAAAGTCGGAGGTCACCGGCATCAGTGCTCATTCCTCAGAAGCAAGAGGTGGGTCAGCAAGCAGAAAAGGTAATGCTCCTTTCAGTGATGAATGGCAATGATGCATCTGTACTAGTATGTGGTCCTCTTCTCTGGTGTCCCCTTGCTGCTCATCATTCTGGTTAACTGCAGAGCACTGCCCAGCACAAGGCATTGCCAATCCTATTTGTAATATAACTAATATTAAACATCTCAGTTCTGTCAAGCTTCCTGGAAAGAAACTGCCTCACAGGCATATTTTTTTTAAACCATAAATATATAATACATGTCTGTGGTACAGGTATAGAGTATTCACATGGAAGGCTACATTCCCAATAATAAATTTCCAGTGCCCTTAAAAAGTCCAAACAGAAAGTCCATTGGATTTTCGGGGTTTCATAAAAACATGTTGACAAGAATAACATGATTGAGGGTAGCCCCTGGGGGGAAGCCGGTAAGATTTTCAAGAAAGTCCCACAGAGAACTAGTAAAGAGTACTTTTCTTTCAGTACTTGTAGATAAAACAGCACTTCCTATAATAACGTAGTAGGAGCCATAGTAAGAAACTGGGTATTTATTATGCTCCATTTACCTGTCTTGCAAGTCATGGGAAGTTTTAAGGGCTGAGGAACCCAAAACTGCTCCTGCTCTCCTGGGTGGGGTTGGGGAGGGCTTATAATATATATTTTTTTGCGATTGTTGTGGCAAAGCTGGCTACTGGGTTTGTGCGACAACGTAGATCAATCTTGTCCTGGTGGACATAGATCGTCCACTGTTTTTAGGTCAGTGTGAGAGGGGAAAGCTTTCGGTTGCCTGCATTCATCTGTCTCGCTACGGACAAAGAAGAGAGTGTGCAAGTGGAATGTAGCACTCTGTAGTAAAATTAATGTATCTTAGATACCATCAAGCAGTGATGTATTTCACCATTTCAGAACTATGAAGTGACAGATTTTTGCCTTATGTTCACTCTGTGCAATGTGCCATAAGAAAGCAGCTTTCTGAAAAGCTTGCCTTTGTTGGTTTAACTTCAAAACCAGTGTCCAGGTCATGAAATAATAGCGTCTTGATTACTGCCACTGATATTTTGCTTCTTGCGTGCTTCTGTTGTCTGAGAGGCTGTCTTTTGAGCTTGTAATTTCCACTTTCAGCAATGTGCATTTAACTTCATTTCAGGCACTTTTAATTGTTGGTGTCGGTGTCTGTCAAATGAAAGGTGTGAAATACCAGTCCACCTGTGGTCAGCTGCAGCATTTTGTATGCACACATAGCCAAGTGCAATTACTTTTTCGAGACATCAAGAACACCTTCCAATGTACCATGCAGATTTCATTCTTCTTCGGGTTTTCTACTTAAAAATTTTCAACTGACTAATGAAATTCTACACTCCTATTATTATTTGAATTCGCCAGATCAGTAGATTGAAGAGAGTGCCTACCCGCAGATATTTTATATTGTCCTCGATATTGCCTCCTGCATTATAGATCCTGTATTACAGAGATTGGCTATTTAAATTATTCTTCAGTGCTACACTTTTTCACACTTCAGTTTATCACAATAAACATGTTGTCTTTTATTATACTAAAGCATTCCAGACATGAATTTATATTTTTTTTTCCCAACTTGTAAAACAGGTTCAGCTGCAAGCATCACTTCAGCTCCTGCTGCTACAACAAAAGGCCTCCTTCAGGTAACCAGAAACTAGGAGCAGTTTTATGCTTGATTGTTACAGTTACTTTCAAAATTAATCTCCATTATTTTCTCCAGGTTGCACCTACACCATCAAGCATAACTAAACAGATGGAAACTTCTAAAAGGAGCGAGAAGGCAAAGACTATGACTTCGTCTGCACACACAGATAATGTAACACAGATATCTACAGCAGATGGGGTGATAAATAACCTTCAAAGGGATGACTCTCTAGACTCTGGTTCCTATGGAAAACAGGCTGAAACTCATGATAGCGGTACACCAGCCAAAACTATTGGCAGGTTTTCAGTAATCAGCACGCAAGACGAATTAACTTTAACAGCGCCGCACTGCTTACGGTTCTCGGCACCCCCAGATGTCTATTTGGATGAGCTACCTTCCAGCCCTGATCTGAAGACAGCTGTCCGACGGGTGCAGACAGCCTCTTCTGTTGATGTCCTCTGTGACCAGGGTTCGAGTGATTCTGCTGATGAGCCTTTCCATCGTCAGACGGCTGCTGCTGCCCAACTGTCCCCCCCAAGCAGTAGTGCAGCCACTGACTTAATTAAAAAAGCAGCTGCTTTTCTGCAAAGATCTGGCAAAGCTAGCTCGCCAGGCCTTGATTCACCTAATGGGCAAGGAACAAAAATTCCTACCATCAACATAACATCTTTCCACTCGCAGTCATCATACATGAGCAGCGACAACGACTCGGAATTTGAAGACGCAGATATGAAGAAAGAATTGCAGAACCTGAGAGAAAAGTATGTTGTGTTTGCAAACAATGCTAGGGAAGCTTGTGTTAAGATACCTGGGCAGCATCTCTGCATATCATCCTGTGCAAATATGTGGTTTTCATAGCTGTGATGAGTAAACTGGTTCTGGGCAAATTAGGCATTGCTAGGACCTTCCCCCAAATGTCACACTGCATCCTTTTATGCATCCCTTTATTTGTCAATTCCATTTAGAAGAATAATTCAATAATAACTTTTTTAAACCCCCAAATATTTCTGCTGCAATATCCAGTTTCCTTACTGAAAAGCTATGATGATATGTAGCAAAAAATAGAACTTGTAATGGATGTGATAGTAGGTTCCCACGTGGACGCTATTTGAGGTGACATAAAACAATCTGGATGCCTGCGTAGACAGCTGCTGTAGTGTTCTCTTTGTGCCCTCTCTGCAAGGGTGATTTAGACTATCAGATCTACAGACTCATCACTATTCCCATACTTGCTTTTACAGTAGATAACCTAGTATCTATTAGGCAGGTAAGACCCTCGCTTCGCCTCCCATCGGATCTCTCATTAAGTCATTGGTCCAGTCTCAGTGGGAGGCTGGGTGAGCCTGGCAGGAGTCTGTCGTGCTGCCAGTCCTGAGAGCTAGCTTCTTTAAATTTGAATGTTTTCTCTCCTGGTGGATGAAGGGTAAAAACTAGCATTAGATGCTAGTTTAACCAGAATCTTAAACTTTATTTTAAGGTATAATGGTTTTATTGAATACAGATGGTGCACCTTTTTAAAACAGAACTACAGTAATACAAAACCTTTAAACTGACTTTGTGGCATCATGAAGTCTGCATTATAAATAAGGTAATGATTCATGTGCTAATGGCATTTTTATGGGAAACACTTTTGGTTTTCTTCATGTTGAACTTCTTCAAACTGATGTACATGCCTTGAGACTTAACTTTTTTGAAGCAACTGGTTTAAAGAGAGAAATTCTGGAATAGTTTGGAGTTCCTGTCAGATCTCATGTCAAAATCAGTTGATTTTACTGAGGATGTTGAAAATCTTTTTAGCTGTCCAGGGTTCTGTCTTATAAACAAATATTTGAGAAGTCAGTCACCACTTTTGCCACGTAGATTGTTATAATTTCACATACTTTTGGATGAGCAGTTAATTGTTTTATAATCAAAGACTGTTTTGTTTCTTTTTTTTATAACTAATTATGCTGTCAAGATGTGATGCTATATCAAATACATCACTAGCAGGGTTTGGTTTTTTTTTATGTTTAGGCATATGAAAGAAATTGCTGAACTTCAGACTCAGCAGAAGAATGAGATAGAGGCACTGTATATTCGGTTAGGGAAACCCCTTCCTCCCAACTTGGGGTTCCTTCACTCAGCCCCACCAAGCAGCCGTCGCCGAAGAACCAGCAAAAATAAATTGAAAGGTGGAAAACTATTAAACCCTCTGGTCCAGCAGCTCAGGAGTGGAACATCAAGCACAAGTAGGTACACTAGGTTGCTTTCTATATGCACGTTGTTTGTGTTGGTTGTGGTTCTACTGTGTAATTGCATGAACTGCAGGAAAGGCACTGAATTTTTATTGGTTTTAATACTATAACTCAAGTTTGCATACTGCAAACTGTTTCTGAAGTGAGCTTCCTTTGGGACAGGCTTATTACAGCCGCCCAGTGCTGAACCATACATACCTTCTCTGTATTGGTTACAATGCTTGGCAGAGAAACAATACTCCACTTTAATTTGGAATACAGCCTGGTTACATTTTCTCTTCCCTTCTCCAAATGCAATTTATTGATGTTTGTATTCAATTCTTAGGTGCTGTTATCCTCTATTGATTATGTGCTGTATCTTGTTGTTGTTTATTTTTTCCTACAAGATGCCGTATAGATAAGATCGGATTGCATTTGCTCCCTCAAAGGGCGGGAGGTAAAAACAGTTACCAAACTGTGATAGATGCTTTGACCACCTAAAGTAGCTTGAGATTTTTCAAACAGTAGTACAGTCTTGAGTCATTATCTCTTTGGAAAGTATGAAGATATAATTCAACTGGGAAATGTTGATATACCCCAGTACCTATTTCTTCAACAAAATGTAGAATAGAATATGAATCATTTTTCTTCAACTCGGTTCATGCTGCTATTTAGAGGAGCAGCAGCACTTCCAGCATTAGCCCTGTATTTCAAACCTGGTAGCTCTTGTTTTCAAAGTCACTGCTTCACAGGTCCACTTCGAATTTCATTGCATCAATCTTAATTGTAGACAGAGTGTTTTGGAGGTTTTTGCTTTTAATTAAGGATTTCAACTGAGATAGGAAAAAGAAAGACATTCAGAGGCAAGATATTCTGTGATCCATGTTGAATCTCAGTATTCTTGCCTACAAGAACTGAAGCGATGTTCAATGCTGTATACCTCTTTAGCTGCTGCTTGGCTGACATGCATGGGGTTTACTTCCTTCCCTTGTGATGAGATACTCTGAATGCCTGTTATCCTTGTTCCATTCATTTTCCAGTTTGTTCTTGGGTTCTCTCTAGCCATTTTTCCCCTCTGTCTATTCACAAAACCCATGTCTGTCTCCATTCATGGATCTTGGCTCATATCAGTGTGCTACCCCAGCCCAAAGAATTACAGCTTATTTCTGCATAAAATGTCCCAATTCTCCTTTTTTTTTTTTTTCTTTTTTCTCCTTGTTACCTTCAGTTAGAGAACAGAAATCTGCTCAGTCAGACTGCTACTTTGGTGCATGCTTTCCTTCATGCATTTCTTCTGTGTTATTTTCCAGTTTTTTGAGGCACTGTGTAAAGTTTGCATTATCTTTGAGAATCTGTATTCATGCCTGAGTCTTCTCATCCTTGACTATGTAGATTCCTCATTTTTTGGCCTTCCTAGGTCCTTTCTCAGGGATCAAGGGCAGGCAGTTTCTAATACAGTTACTGATGTAATTGTCATTTCCACTGTTAGATGCTTTTGCTGATGAATCCATGTAACAAATGATTACAAAGGTATTCTGGTGGTAAAGCCTCTTTACCCCAGGATATCCATGTAGATAGATAGATAAAATAATAAGTTCCTCATGTCTTTGCAGCAACTTTTTATTTCTCTCCATTTGCTTGCTTTCACCTTTCATGTTTGAGAGCAAACCTACATGCGCTGCTCAGCCGTTCTGTGCATTCATCCTCCTACACAGGCACTTCTGCAGCTCTCACTTTATTTCAGCAGTGCTCCTTGTGAGGTCCTGACTCCAGCCTTTCTGAAAAATGCAGAAAAGAAACTGTAAAAATCAAACCCACTCCATAAACTTCTAGGAGAAACTGGATCAGCAATAGTATGTGTAGATTGTTTTCTGGTGCAGGCTACCTGTAAAGTCTGCGCCTCATACAGTACTTCAGAATTGTAAACCGCTGTTCCTCTTGGTGGCAAAGTAACGATTATTTTTAGGTGCTGACTTTTATGCAGTGGTTTCCTAGCATTTGCCATTGCTTGTATTTTGTTTGTTTGCTCTTTCAGGTAATCTTTCAGACTCTAAAGACTCACCCCACAAAGAAACAACTAAAACTCAGCCTGGATCTCCCGAAGCAGCAGCGGTAACTTCCCCTGCATCAGCCACCTTCGGGAAGGCTGTTCAGACACAGCAGCCGTGCTCTGTCAAAGCCTCTTTGTCTTCTGACATCTGCTCCGGCTTAGGCCCCGAAGGAGGTGACGTGAACGCAAGCTCTGGCCAAGGTGATTTTTTCATACCAGCTCTTCGGCATGTCTTCCAGCACATGCTAAAATTAGTTCGCTTCCCTTATGCTTGAACATTTTAGGAGTGGATTTCACTTCTAGTGATATGGGAACATAAACCTTTGACAATCTAAATTACTGGCTTATCTTTAAAAAGATCGTTGCAGTATTGTCAGAAGAACAAAAGTAAAGCGTCTTACCAAGTGTTAAGACTCAACGCTCAAGAGGGCATGCTAATTTTTAGGAAGGAAATACCTTTGATTTTTGCCAGCAGTGGCTTTATACTGACACCTTTTCTGGAGTCTGCCTTACAGATTTCTGAGAAAAAAAGAAAGGAAAACTAAAAAGATATAGAAGGGTAGGAGATTGTTTCCTTTGGTTCATGTGGGGCTTTCTTTTTTTAGCCCCTTGATACTGGTAGACCCGGAGTTCCTCGTTATAAACTACCAAACCATCTTGGTCATGAGGTGAAAAAAAAAAAAGAAAAAAGGAAAAAAAAAAAAAGGCAAACCAAAACCAGAGAACTAAGTTATGTTTCCTTTATCTAAGGGGTTAGCTTTGTGCATGATTTTGGAGTCCCAGCTAAATGACTGTAGATTGGCTGTGTTCCCCAGTCCCGACCTCTGATACTTCTGTGTATTGCACACCTCCGTAGGCTTTGACTGATCTTGTTGCCATGCATATTGGAAGTTATAATGATGATTAAAATACCTTCCTCTCATTGCACATCCTGCCAAACTAATCTACAAAATATCTATCTGTTCTCTTCTGCTGTTATTGCATCCTTTGTGTATGGTCAATTAACTTACTCCTCTTTGGCAAAGTTAAAATGGAGATGTGGATGTTTAACTAACAAAGCTGATTTGACTGATGGTATAGGACATCTGATCACAGCTACTTGTACTTTATAAGTGTCTTTGTTTTCTTCCCTTTATATTCATTTGCAGGCTGGACGGTTTTCCACCAAACGTCTGAGAGAGTGACCTATAAATCTAGTAGCAAACCTCGTACCAGATTCCTCAGTGGACCTGTGTCTTTGTCCATCTGTTTGTATTTGTTCTTTTGTATTTTATCACAGTCCATCTTTCTTTTACCCCTTTTTCCAATTCCATGTTTTATATCTCTAATATGTTTGGCAGGATGCCCCTTTTTCTGACCCATCTTTTCTTTCTTTTTATCTTTCTTTTAAGTAATCATCATGAACACACCTTATTTATATTAATTTTTCATATGAAAGCTTTTTTTGCACTGCTTTTGGCTCGTGCCTGGGCACCAAAAGCATGTGTGGAAGATCTCATCATTTATTATTATAGCCTTATGGTAAATTTTACCCTGGACTTATCAAAGCTTTTGTACGTTATGTGATTTATGTTGAAGTAATTTTATTTGCAATGTGGCAAATATACATGTCTGCTGTCCCGGTTCCAGCGACAACAAAAAGAAATCCATCCTGTAGACGAATGGTCTCTTTCACACATGTTTGGACTATGAAGACATGCATGTAGCAAGCTGATACAATACTAGAAGGTCACTGAAGGGTATAACTTCCATACAAGGGCTGTATTAACACAATATACAGTACTGTTTATATCCACTCTGTTTTCTTTAATTTTTTTTCCCCGCTCTTTGCATGTGGAAATGCTGAGACAATAGTGCTCCAGCTAGTTCTTTCAAAACCTGTTTTCTAGGTGGGCTTTTCCCCATGCATTCACTTTAATTACTTTAAGTGAGCAGTTTTTTATATACTCGTAAGCAGCAGAAAGAACTGGTTACTCCAAGGGAGAGTACCATCAACTTTTTTTGTGTAAGCTGATCTGGCTGAAGCACTTTACTCAGTTTATTTTCTTATGACCTTATGTGACCTCAGAGATGAAGTCAATTAGCAGTTCATCAAAGCATAAATAAGTAAAAACCAATATCAGATTTTCAGATGATACTTTGAAATGGATTGCTAGGATCCAGTATTTTTTGTTTCAAATAATTGTGCACCTGCTATTTGTACCCTGTTTGTATGACTTCTAAAGTAATTGGCAATTCAACCAAATGATATCAAGCTATTTAATTAAAAAATTAAGACCTTTTTACCCAATCATATATGCTGCTTTTTAGGCAAACAGATTTTGCTTGTACAATAAAGATATGTTGTGCTGAACAGGTACTATAGGCCACTTACATATAACATTAGAAAGGCTAATAATGTTCTTGAGAAAATGTTTGGTTAACTAACTGTTCATTTGCATTAATATCAGATCTCCCATTGGAGTTCTACATTGCTCATCATTATCCAAGTGGTACAGATCAAAGGCACAAGACCACTCAAATACACTCCTCCTGATTTTATGAATAAACAATATTTTAAGAAAATAATCTTGATTTTTTTTGTTTGAGGTCCCTAAAAGCCCAAGCGCTCAGGTTCTTGAAAACTGATGTTTACTGCTCGGCATACTGAATTTATTATCGTGTGAGTTTTTAACGACTACTGAAGTCGTGAGACAATTTTGCATTCAGGGATTTTTTATGAGAACCTGAGGGGAATTCTCAGTTCACAGATTTTCCCATTTGGTATTATAACGGACACAGTAGTTTCTTCCTCTGCACATGTAATTCCCAGAAGTCGTTCCATTAATCTTTCACAGAATTACTATTCAGTAGGATGCAAAAAGACTGGGAGATGGCAATTAAAAACCAGCATATTAAAAACGTTTGGGTGCATGGATATTGTGAATGAAACCAAGGGAATATGTAAATCCTTCAAATCGTGAAGTTTCCCGATGCTTAAATAACTCGGCACGACTAATTGCTTTCTGTTCTCAGCCCATATGCTCTCTTCTCGGTTTCTTCTGGGCGAAGCGTTTGGAGAGGAGGTTCGCACTCCCCCATTTCTGAGTCATACGAGGAGATGGACTGAGTTTCAGGCACTTAACCCTGACACATCCGTCCAAAGTCACCGCTGCTCAGGGAGCGCAGCTTAGTTTCAAATGCTGCCTGTCACTTGAGTTGCTAGACAGTTTTCCGCAGTGGAATTACTGGTAGGTTTTGATGGGGGTAGGAGGTTATTTTAGCCGATTTTCCCAGTGAGTCCGGGGGGTCGGTAGGGTGTATGTGAAGGAACGCAGATGGGCCTGCGTGCAGCCCCATCGTTCCCCACGGGCGGCTGGGGCTGGGACTGCTGCGGGAAGGACAGCCGGCCGGTGGTTCCATCAGGCCGGCGTCCAGAGCCGCCGTGACCGTGGCCCTCAGGAAGAACAGCGCTAGACGATGCTGCCGCTGGGAACGCCAGCTAGCTCGTGCTCCTTCCCTCGGGAAGGGACGTAGGTTGGCCCGGCGCGCAGGCAGAGCCGAGCGCTCGGACTAGGCGCGGAGCGTGGTTGCGCCTTCGCCGCGCCGGAGGCGGGGGAGCGAGCCTTGGAGAGGGGCCGTGAGCGAGGGCCGGCGGACGCGGCTGGGACGCGGCTGGCCGGGGCCGGCAGCGCGGTGCCGCGTCTGGGCGGTTCCGCACGTCGAGGTTTCCCTGGGATTTTTTTGTTTGTTTGAGAGCCGTTGGGATAAGTTGCGCTGGATTTTCAGAAACGCTCTGAATCTAGGTGTTTGATTAAGGAAAACCAGCCCTCTGGGGAGCCTTGGATGTTCCAGCATGAGGCCTGTACTGTGTTAGCAGACGAATTAGCAGCACGCTTTTATAAAGAAACGTTCAGATGCATGAAAGATAGTTTTACAAATATCTTGCCCTGATTACAAGATCCATCAGACTTGGAACACTTTCACAGTGTTCTCCAAGAATTGCATTTTGATCTGTTCCCACACCCAATGTTGACTTTTCCTTTGTACTTTCCATGGAATAAAATATTTTTGATGGGCTTCAGCATAATTTTAGCCCGAGCTTCTTCCCTGGGTTAAATTGCAAGGGCATCTTAGGGAAGAGTGCACTGATTGTGAATTGGAATTTTCAAAAGCTCCAGTTGGCTTAGACTTGTAATCCTCTGTAAAGCAATTTTTGTCAAGTCTGTAGTAATTAATATATTGTATGTGTATATGCAGTTATGGAAATGGTCTAACAATTTATTGCCATTTCAATTTTATTTTAGCTTTCAAGCTTTTTGGCAGCTGTTAGAGTGCAAATATGGGACAGTGAATTTTTTTCTGTCCTGTATGATATAATAGCTACTTAATTTCTCAGATAAGAAATCTGGAATTGGAGGTAAAACACTCTGCTGAACTTTTGCAGTCTTAGATTAAGTCTTAATTATGATTTATCTCCTTAACTTTACAGCTATTAAACACCTTGATTTTAGAAGTAATACAATTAAGCTGGTGAATTCGCTTTACCGAGTGCATTTTTAATTGAATTTGAATTTAAAACCAATCACAGCTGATGATTGTCAGTCCCTGCTTCAGGCAACATCACCACTTAGATAATGTTTCTCATCTCCCAAGCAACATGCTGGAGTGATACGGTTTGGAAGAAATAGCTCTCTTTTTGGTGATTGAGTCTCCTGTAATATTTTCCTTAATGTTGGCTCTACTCATGCGGGTATTTTGTGAATCTGTCTAGTATCACCGTTCTCTGTCGCTTCCCCACACATATGGGGGCCCCAGGTTTGATTTGGCACCTGAGGTGCATATAAACTTGTGACTCGGTTTTCAGGAAGCGAAGGGGTTGGTGATTAAACTTCTTTACATGCATTTGAGCACGTACTGTAGTCAGCTGCCTGCTTTTATTTTTTGCAGGCAGTTGCTTTTCATTTGCATACATATTGTGCTAAATACTACCTATTACTACATGCAGAAATGCTGCAGAATAGTCAAGAAAATAGCATTCTAGTATTACTGCCACTGATGTTTCCGTAATGGGAGTTGCTAGCTAACTTTGAGATAGGCAAGGTAAGGTATATCTGAGGGAAAAGAGGGGAAAAATTTAAAAAATGCAACGCAGATTGTTGAGTTGTGAATGTGACTTGTATTTGTTATCTAGGCTTTGAGATGAGAAACTACACTTGGTCATGCTTGCATAAGACATTACTGTAGTCATGTCCTTCTGATTTTCCTGGAATAGAAACCTCATTAAACTATATGAAATAATAAGAAAATCTTTCAAAGCAATCCTTCTGTTCCTTGTCATGCCACCCATATCAAAGCACAAACATGTCTTCTCCCTTTTTTTCCTCCCTCTTTACTTTCTCTTCCTCAGTCTCTGACTGATGTCTCTCCTTTCTCCTTTGAAGACTCATTCAGAGCCTATGTCAACCTGGACCTGCAATCTCCGAGTTTAAAGCTGCATTTCCGGCACAGTAACATAAAATATCTACGCTGGTTGGCTGTAGAGAAAAAGTGCATCCATCCTGTATCTTGCTTTTTGCCCCACTCTCTGATTTTGCTCATGTTTTCAAGTGCTTCTTCACAATAAACTTGCCATGCCCCATGTCAGATACTCATCTCCTCACCTACCATAACAATATTCTTCTTACCAAGTCCAAAATACCTTTCAGGAAATTTGGCACTCAAATAGAAACAGTGCTTATGTCTGGCAAGATCTGACAGTCAAGTAGGGTTCTCGGTACACTTCTGGCACTCTATCTATCCAACAGAATATGTAAAATCATGATGAAGGATGTAATGAGATAATAATGAAAAAAACACATAGTTTGGTTAAATGAAAACTCAGCTACTCTGCTGGATTATTTTTCTGCACTTGGACAAGGCATAAGGGAAACTCATTCAGGGTTACTTTCAATTGAAGTTCAGAATCTCACATTTAGACACAAATCCTACTGATAAAGTATTTGGAAACAATTGGCCTCAGACCTGCAGAACAATGTATCTTTTTGGACTTGTAAAACAGGACTTGTAGGTTTGTTTTACAGTTTGTCTTTGCAGCCAGACTAGCTTGACTTGTTCCTGAAAGCATTTTTGGCCTCCTATCACAAACTGAATTGACATCATTTCCTGCATAAATAGAGTAGGAATCAAAACCTCCTATTAGGAAGCCAAGGCAATTTGAAAAAAAACCAAAAAAACAAAAAACCAAAAAAAAAAACCCAAACAAAAAAAAAAACCCCAAACAACACCAAAAATAAAATCCCAACACCCAAACAAAACCCCCCAAAAACCAAACAAATGCATCTTTAATTCATGGGACCTTGCTTTTGGCATGCTATTGTACTTCTCAAAGCTTCTGAATGGCTGCACATTAAGAAAGGTTTGAGCTGTCCAGTTATTTAGACTTCCTTTACTCACCTGAACTGCTGACTTTGTCTGTCCTTTCTTGCATAATAACTACTTTTTGATTGCTTAAAAGTACAGAAGCTTGTCCGTCAGATTTGTTGTGTTTAGTCTTACCTAATTCTGTATGTCTTGTATTGTTTTACCTTGTAGGGTCCACCTTGAAACGACTATGTCTAGGCAAAGATCACAGTAGTAGTAACTATCCCATTTTTGTTTCTCAGTATTTCCTTCATGGCATGGGATGTTTTTTGCTTTTTTTTTTTAATTGTTTTTTACTAAAAGCTAGTTGTTTAATAAATAGAGCTGATGCACTTATACTGATATGAAATTAGACTATAAATTGTGATACTTTCATAATAATGCATGTGCTGTGATGTCTTGGGAACCACGCATGCTGCAAGACAGTTGTGGTATTCTTTGTGTGTGAGACTGTGCACGCATGCAGCAAGAAAACTGGATTCAGTGTTTGTCTTTCTGAAATACACACCTTTATATGACTGCAGTTCTCTGCTGGAGGAATTTATAGCTTAAAACTATCTTGTTCCTGTTGAGCTGCATGAAATATTAATCACTAATTGAAGAGCTTTCCTGTCAAAATACTTATTTTTCTCACTGGTCCCTTTCCCCAAGCAAAGGAAAAGGAAATGAGCAGTATTCACTTAGAAGTTATGTTGCAGGTTGAATGCATGATCATTTAAAGGTTATTAATGTATTTTATATAACCATAGGACTAAATAGTTTACTCGGTTTCATTGGCTGGTAACTGATTAACAGAAAAAAGAAGACTGAATGTTCATGTCTGCTTAATATAGTGATTTTACTACAGTTCTATGAACTTTTTGCTTGGAGAGATGGTCTTTATTTCAAGTCTTTAGCTATATCAAATATGTTAGTTGAAAAGTTACTTTATATTTTCTGCGTAGGTCAAATTTAAGCACCTTTGGCTGCTGTTCCTTGCTGGTCTTGCTGTGTCAGACTTGTAGTTACCAACACATAAAAAGGACAGATTTTTTTTTTTTCCCTAGTTCTAGAAATAAGTGAACATATAAAATTAAATCTCTGTCAATACTCTTCCTGTCTGCTTTTATCTATACCAAAAGTTCTGTATCTTTATCTTTGTCTCCAAAACTCACACACCCACTTATGTCCTCCTCTCTCCTCTTTCTTCTGTACATTCATGGTCCTGATGGGGTTTTTTCCACCAAAATATGCAGATGGCAGAGTAAACGGTGCTATCATTGAGAGAGATTGTGGGTTCCCACAGCCTTTGAGGCGTAGTAGCCAACTCTGCTTGTAACCTATATGACAATTATGTTTTTCCAGGAGGACAGTAAACTTATGCAAGTAAAATAAATGATAAATGCATTTTTTAAATGCATGCAGTTTAAGTAAGTAATACATCCTGCCTCCCACTCTCTCATGGTAGTCTCCTCTGACGAGACTTCGTAAGCCTTAAGTTGTCAGTGTTACTGGGACTGCATTTGTTTCTTCTCTCTGAGTCATTAATTTCACCTAGAGAGAAGGTGTGGGCGCAACAGCTAGTGGCTGAGGTAACATAATGTGATAGAAAATATGAACACATTGGACTTGGACCATTTCTTTAAGCAAAGGTGTTCTGTAGGAAGGAGGGGGAGGGTTAACAGTCCGAAAAGCCGCCATTTGAATTGCAGTAGATGAGAAACTGTTTGAGCAGCAAAGTGGTGAAGCAGAGATGCCATCGTCAACTTTCTTTGTGTGTGATTTTCCAGGATCCTCAACAAACAGTCTTGTAACGTGTCCTGAGCCCCTCCCGCAATCAACCCTGCAGGTTCAGGCCAACAACAGTAACAACAAGAAAGGGACGTTCACAGATGATCTTCACAAGCTGGTTGACCAGTGGACAAGCAAAACTGTTGGAGCTGCACAGACAAAACCTTCCTTAAACCAACTGAAGCAGAACCAAAAAAGGCAAGACATGGAGCCAAAGGCTAATCCCATGCAAACGCAGAATGAGACATGTGGAGTAAGTGGCACTCCTTGAAGAACATACCTTTTGCTATGTATCTGAAAGCCTTTGCAGAACTCAGATTTGGAGGAGGACATAAACTAAAGTTGCTTCAGATAGATGCTTCCTATAAATGTCCATCTCTTTTCGTTAAGTACTAAACCAGATTTTTTTTTTTAAATTGTCTTTTCGAATAATCTTGAGGGATATATGGGCTGCAATATATATATATAAAAAATATATATTTTTAAATTGCGAACTGCTTATTAACAGCAATATACAGCAATACTCATACCATTAACCATATGTTGCTCAAGTTTTAACTATTCCTAAAGTTTTCTTCTTTTTTAGGTGTAATATTAATCTTCCTTAGCCAGAACAGTGGCTGCGCTGGTGGCTTGGTGGTAGTGAGCCTTTCTTTTAGTGGAAGTGGAGTGAGTACTGTGCTGAGCTAGGGGACAGCTGGATGTGTTTCTGACCCTTGCTTGTTATACTGGGCATCTTTGAGGCTCTCTGCCTCATGAAAATACCACCTTCAGAAATGCTGTGCAAGTAAACTACAACAAAATGGAAATTGGAAGCACCCCTATTCATCCCCTCTTATTTTCAGTTGCAGGAAAAAACCTGAAATTGCGACGTGCATTCATGTCTGCATTCGGTGCTTGTTTTCATGGCTGAGTGATGGTATGGAGGCAGGCACAAAAACTAATGAAGAATCCCAGTTTACAGTTCTGTCCCACCCTGGTCTGTGTTTCCAGACCTCTTCCTCCTCCTCATGCTCAGATGATTCTTTGAGTAATAATTTTTGCTGGATTTTTTTGGAAGACTGGAAATTGAGCCAAAGTAGAGGAAAATAAATGAATTTTAAAAGCAAATAAATAGTGAAAAGAAAACCGGTGAGGAACTGCTTTGTAATCCCTTAAAAACAAGATAACTGGGTCTGGATAGTAAACCATTGCCTTTTTGGCATGTAGAAGGAGAAAAAAAACCTTGTGTGCAGCAGTTGTAGCTCTGTAGATACTTGTGAGGTGAGATGTGCCAAAGCAGGAGCTGCACTAATGCGTCTGCTTTGGTACCTGTTGGTTTTGGAGTCACTGGGGTCACTGACTTCACAGGGAGAAGCGTTTGTGCAATTTTCTGTCAATTCTTAGTTACCAGAGAGTAAATAATCCTCTTCTGCATAGTGATTGTTTAACCAGTATAAAATCATTCTGGAGTCACACCGACATCTACTTAAGACCCTATTAGTTCTCACAAAATAAGTCAAAGGAGGTGCTAGTAAACACAAATTGAAGATTTCTAGAAAGTGATGGTGAGGGCAGATTTTGTTCTGTTAAGTCACTTCTTACTCTCTTTTGACGTGCTTTTTGCAGCTTGATGTCTTTTCCCCGTGACTCCTGCAGTTCTTTGAAGTATTCCATGGAAGTGTTTTGCCCACTTATAACGCTGGAAAAGAGTGGTTATTTTGCTTATTTAAATCATCCATTAACATCAATTTAGGGTTAATTTTGCCTTCTGCGGTCTTGGTGTCTGTGTTTCAAAGCCTGTGGAGAAGGCAGAGTATCGCTGTGAGAGGAAGAGGGATGTCCCTGTCTCAATACACTGATTTTAGAGGGTTTCTTTCTAGAACATGGCAGTTGTTCCAGGGAATTAACAAGGCTGATTGAAGTCTTTTAGAGATAATTTACCAAGAGCACAGAGCGGTTGGGATTCCCTGCTCTTCATTTCACGTCGTTCCTTGTTGCCTTGAAGAGTGGCAGTCAGTTGGAGCCCTTGCGAGCCCCACGCCAGCTTGCCCTGGGTGGTTTTGTGCATAAAGCCCTCGTAGGGCCACGTGGGCTGCAGAAGAGTTGCGAAGGTAGATGGCAAACATTCTTAGCGTGGTTATTGTTGGGGTATTTTGGCCATGAAGATTGCACAGCATGCCGTAGGTGATAGAAAACAGGGCAGTGGATATGATTTAAAAGACTTTTACAAGGGTTGTTTTGGGGGTTGAGCGTCATTCTGCTGTTTGTACCTGTTGAAATTTACCCTAAAGGGGAAATTGAAGTTGAGGGAGGAAAGGGCTTCATGATGTTGGGAGAAAAATAGGCAAAAGAGGAGGAAGGAAATTGTGCAAAGGGACCCTTAGTCTGGACAGCCAGACAAGTGACCATCAGTCCTTGGAGTGATGAATTACATGGGGAGATGTTATACCTGCACTGAATCACCATTGAGTCCACCTTTTAAAATGGTATTGAAAAGACAAAAAGTACTCAGGAAATCACATAAAGGATGGAAAAAATAGCTTTCTAACAGGGAGCATATAAAGCTCAGGCTGTACTTCTTCAGTCCATCTGTTAACACCATCTTTTCATCGTCTTTTTGATCAGATACAAAAATGCCTTTGCAAGAAAAGAATAAGGAGCACTAAACAGATTTCCAGCCCATCAGAGAAAGTTATAATAAGGTTTTATGTTGGAAATAAAGGCTAGATAAATTGGAAATGTGATTCTTATGCCTTTTGTTTGTTTGTTTGTTTGTTTGACTGGAACACACTAGCGGGAAACTATTAGTGCAGGTTGTCTCATATCTTCAGACCGGGTGTTTTGTTTTAGGAGAAGCTATTGTTGGTCCAGTGCGATGATCGGGAATGAGGGGCAGGAGGCAGGCAGTATTCATACCTTCACTTCTAAATTGTCTCTGGAGGTTATTGGACGGAAAGATGTCTCCTTGAAGGGTTTTTAAACAAGAGTAGGAGTGATGTGAGTTGTCCCATGGCGCTCTCTTGGTTATAGGTCCCCTGGAATTAGTACCGCACAGAGCTCTTATGTGTGACATAGAGGCCACGCAGGCGATGAGCATCCTCCTGGGGTGGAAGTCTAGGGCTTCTGTTATACAAGCTATGACAAAGAAGGCATTAAGCCAAATGGCCCCTTTCTACTCTGTATTTGGGGTTTTTTTCAATCTCTAGGCCAAAGGAAAATTGCAACAAATCCTTATTGGTTAGGGGTAGAGTTATTTTATTTATTTTTTAGTTTATTATTTTCTCTTACTGTCCACCCACTGTTATTAATATGCAGGGTAGTTGTGGGGCCAACTTCAGGTCTTCTCTTTCACCCTGGAAACAGAAGACTAACTTTCCTGAGTTATCTTTTTTCTTCAGGTGCTTCTACCACCATCAGCAAACTGTTTGTTGTGTGAATACAATATATTAGTGGTACCTTTTTTTAACTAAGCGAAGGCTACTCTTTAAGGTTGGAAATCAGCTCAGAAGAGAAATTGGTGGTGTGTTTAGTAAGAGTTAGTAGCTTTATTTTCGTCCTCTTTATCATCAGAGTTGTAGAAAGCAATAAAATAGTTGGGATGCAAAGGAGGACTTTAAATTCTGCTTTGTTTCTGTGGAAGTTACCTGTCAGTTTGGCTGCAAATCCTGGTTGATACATATTAGAAGTTTGTGGGGCAACCTTCAGGCATCCAGTTATGTCACAGGAGCACTGAAATGTTCCTTTTCAAATGTTTTCTTTAGACCTGGAAATACACATAGATTCTCATCACTGGTAATTTGAAATGTAATAGGAGATATTAGGAAGAACTGAAGTCAAACTGCCTGATAATAGTTATTTCTCTCATGCTCATCTGTGTTAAAGACATGATGAAATAATCCTTTTCTACAGGTATTACCACCAGTCAAGGAATACGCTTAGGAACATGAGCTGCCTTGTGTGTAAAGAGTACTGAATGTTGTGTAGTTAAAGGCATTATTTGAAGATGGCTGGGAATAAAGGGCTTACCAAAAATGTTTTCTGTTCTTTATACGGTTATGTAGCTCCACGGGTTTTAAAGAAAAAACTATAACCCCAAAAAAAGCTGTAAGCATGTTTCAAGTCCGTAATAAGGTTGTTTCTGTGAACATGCAGGTCTGTGTCAGTTGGTGACGTGTGCTGCGGTTCAGACACCATCAGTAAGAGCTGCACATCTGTTTGCATTTAGTACATCTTGATTTTAATGAGCTGGCTGCCTGGGAAGCAGGCTTTCTGGAGATAGCCACAGATGCGAATATGGAGCGGAAGGACTATTAACACCTTTTACTGTGTCTTCCGTCTCTGTTGGATTGGAAGAATAATAAAAAATAGGATGTATCTGTGTTTGAAGCTATTCAACACTGCCTTCTTGGTCTGAATGTCAGAGTGGCTTTCCAGGAACCTGGAAGAGCACAAACACAAATCTTCAGTAGCACCTAATAACTTCGGGTTTTCAGCAAACTGGAAAAAGGGGATAAAAAAGATTTATTAGCGTCCTTGCCCTGCTCTTCTTGGCAGCCAGCTCTCACCCTGTCCTGTGATTCAGTTTTGTTTCAATGGTAGTTGGACTATACAGAAGTAAAACAGTAATGCTAATAACGTATCCATCAGAATGCAGCTGGAAGAAAAATAATCTAAATCCTGCATTTTTAGAATGGGTTGTGATAGTTATGATCAGCTTTCACAGCAGAATTACCCAGTTTCATCTGTTCTAATGTAAAAACATAAATACTTATAATGTTTATAAGTCAAACCAACTCTTAGCTATATACTTTCACAGTACTGTAGCTCTGAATATGGCTGATGCGGCACTTCAGAGCTTGCTTGGTAAAGCATGAGAACAAGGTAGAGAATTAAAAGAAGTCCAAAGAACAATTTATTTTTTTTCTTCTGAACTACCAGAGCCTTTGTCCGGTGGGGTTTGTTTCATTTTTACATATGTTTTTGTGCATATTTGTCTTTGTGTATATATTATTCTTGTTTTCTAAATGACTATGTGTGATTATTTGGGGGAACAGGAATAAATGGCAGCAAGGGAAAGACTGGCAGCAGAAGGCAGGCATTTGGGGAAGCAGGAGCCAGAGGTGGCTCTTACCCAGCAGGGACTTGTACAAGCCCTCAGGGCAGAGGTTTATTAGCGCAGGGAGAGTTTGGCAAGTGCAGGAGGGGAGGCAGCGTGAGCGGAGGTACAAAGGCAGCAGGCAGAGATGCCGCCATAGGTGTTCGTTCAGTAAGTATACTGCTTTAATAGGGGAGGCTAATTGAGATGCAAAGGGAAAGAGGAGGGAGGGAATTTCACTTCCTTCCCATGTAATATAGGAAACATATCAGGTTGTCAACCCAGACTCCCTTCCAAAAAAAAAAAAAATCCCTATTAAATATCTCTAGCAGACAGACTTTTTTACATGGTGATGACAGACATAAATTTTGCAGTGCATTTGTTAAATTCATTAAGTTTGAGACTGTGTCTACCTTATCAGCCTGCTAAAGGCCAGGGCAGCTGACTTTACTAGGCTGTAGACAGGCAGCAGAACAAACAGAAGTAAATGAATATTGTAATATTAAAAATGAAGTAATGCCATCCATAGTTGGCTAAGTCCATATAATCAGTTGCATTCCTCATTACTAGTGTTGTAGCATCTAAAATTGAATTAGGAAGGGAAAAGGCCACTTCTGCTTTACACTCCTGCAGGAGAATTAGTGTATTTTAAATAAACCCCAAACACTCCTATATGACTGCAGGCTATGGTTATAAAGATCTTTTGTATTTCAGTGATCTCTAAACATTGGTTGCTTGAGCTGGGTACAGGGGTCTGATATTGTACCACTTGTTTCCAATTCCTAAGATAACTTCAGTATAAAAGAAACAATTCACACCCGTATCTTTAAGCTGTGGGTAGAATACGAAAGCCCAGACGATGCACTGGAAACTGAAGCCTTGTCATCGCTAACATATAGCGTGCTGTAGCTGATGCACATTGTGGAATCAGCAGCTTGTGCCAGAACTGGCACCTTTTGAACAAACCTGCAAAAATGACAAGGTAATAGCTAAGAGGAGAGGTCACCTGGGCAAGCAGGGAGCTACAGGTAACAAACGTGTCCTTTCAGCACAGAATTAGCCAGCTCGTGAGTGACAGGAGAACTTACGGGTTCACAGCTTCACTTGTGAGCTTCAACCCCCTGGCAGCTGTCGGGCTTGTGCGCGGGGTGAAACACCCTGACCGTTGACAAGGCACCCGGCCGTGCCGTGCTGCTCCGGGGCTTCCTTCGGTGGACCTCCATTAAAATACCAGCCTGATTGACTGAAATGCCCAGCTAGTTCTGTTTACAGCTGTGACTTTGATCCCAGTGTAGGTACACACCTTGTCCATCACTGCGTGAATGTCTATCTGCTTCCCCTTGAGTCTTATGACTTGTAGTCTCATGGCTTTCCTATCTCCTTGTGCTGTTTTGAGGACTAGTCCGGTGCACGTTGGTTTTGATGTTTCAGTTGGCATCTACGTGCAGGAAGAAATGGGTTGTTTTGGCCTCCATCGGTGTTGAGTCATCATAGCTGGTTAAAAGATGATGGTTAAAAAATGGCTTTGACCAAGAGACTTCTATCCAGGGGAAGGTGCAAGAGCGAGATGTCTTGTTGCCTCTTAAAGTGTGTGTTTTGCTCCCTTGAAGCATGCGATGAAGGTAGAGGAAGCAACCTTAAATCATTAATGTGCATTTGTCACGACATTAACAAGTTTTAATAAGTGTGTGTAGTGGTTGGTTTTGGAGCATGATGCAGTGTTATTCCGGGTTGCACATACGTAGCCTTAAATACAGCTGCTGCTTTTCTAAGTGATTTAGCTGAGAATGAAATAGTCAAGAAGCATGGATCAGGTAGAAGTAGATTCTCATTTTTTTAAAAAAAGCTTTTTCAAGTTAGAATTTTTAAATAGGACCGCTTGCTAAAATGTCACCTTACATTTTCAATGCTACTGTATAATCTATTGCTCACATTTACATGCATCTGTTGTCATCCACTTACAGTTGTCTAGTTTGGTGGAAACCATTATTTTGAGGATGTTAAAACAAGGGTCTAATAATAGCTTACAGAAGTCTTCAGGTCTTAAAAACAAGCCCTCAGTTCCTCTGTTTATTGTTCTCTGGCTTCTGCTGTTAATTTTGGTGGATTTTTATACATTAATAATGTTAAATTCATTATACCAAAACGGCTATTTCTCTTAGTCTGATGCTCACCATCAGATTCAAGTTTCAGAACTAGAGACAGGGAAGTGAAGAAGGATTTTGAATATTTTGGTATTTTTCTAAAATTTGCTTTGGAGCACAGCACTGCCCCAGAGCAGTAAATCCCAGAATGACGTTGCCATTTTTGTTTTTCATTGAGAAGAAAGACGAAAATCAGAAACTTAAAGTAAGCATACCACACAGTCTTATACATATATTCATTTTTTTGCTGCTGAAATTTCACCTTCAGACCAATTTTATCAATTTAATGTGAAATATCAAATTAATGGGAGGATCCCAGACTTAAATAATACCTTTTTTTCTTATGCCATGAATAGGTGCTGGCTTGGTGGGAACCACGGCCTGGAGTTGTAAATTCTGTGAAATTAAAAATTTAATGAAATGCTGCAAACACCATATGCAGAGGGAGCAGGCAGCGTTTTGGATAACAATTGCTTCCATGGCATTGCGCATGATGGAGCGTATAATTTGGGAAGCTCTGCCATCCCTGTATTTAGGAAGGAGAGCTCTTTCTCTGCCCCTCACATGCAAAAACTGAATAATTGAAGTGGATGTTAATAGAATTTTAGAAAAATAACTGGAATTGGTTCTGGCAGCCCCTGAGGCAGGAGCAGCTCCTGCTGTGTCCTTGCTGGTTGTACCTCGCCTGGTCTCAGCCACCACCTGTGCTGGGTATTTAACCACCGCGGCAAATCTCTTTCTGTTCTTCGCAGCCCTTAGTTCAGTGAGGGCGGATAAAACAACTTCTTAACAGAAATACATGCTGGAGTTTTTAAAACCTGTTCTGCGACTGGCTGTAATAGGAGATTTGGGTTAGTTCTGCGTTTAGTTAATTTGTTTGCTTTTATGCACAAGACCGAGCATAAAAGATACTTAAGTTCCTTGGGACGTTTGAGGTGTTTCATGGCTTTTTGTGGCGTTGAGTTCTCGCTTGTTTGGTGATGCTTCCTGCCTCCTTAAATGGTGAGATTATATTCCGGCAGCTTTCCCCTCCTGCCTGTATCAACCTTTCCTATTGATTTCCAATTTTTTTTTTCTTTAAAAAACAAACAAACAAAAAAAGCCAGAAGCAAAACCCAGGCCCCAAGCTCCGAGGACGCCGTGCCACCCCCGTGCTCCCCACCGGGCTCGCAGGTTCCCGCGCGCGGGGCAGGGATGCCGCGCCGCTGGTGGGAGCAGCGCCAGCAGGGACACGCGTGTCTCAGCACGCCGGCGCTGCCCGCGCCACGTGGGGAAGGAGGAACTTAATAGCGACGCTTTTTGTATTTTTCTTTCTGTAGGTTAATTCGGTAAGAACGGGATCGGGGAAAAAGTGCGTCGTTCCAGCGTCTCGCCCCGTGCCCGCCGCGTTAGCGCCTGGAGTTTCGCCGTCCCTGCCGGTGCCCGTGCCAGGGCCTGCCCTCTCCGGCGCAGTGACGCCTTACGTGATGCCTCTCTGTCAGTACGGAGGAGTTTTCCCGACGCCCGTTTACGGAGTGCGGTGGCCGGGGCCGGCCACGCAGCCGGGCCTTGTCGGAGGCGCAGGCGTCGCGCGGTTCTCGCCTCTGGGCGGAACCT